TGTGGGCACTGTGATAGACAGAGTTCTGTCAGCTGACAGACAGTTTTAGCCACCCATTGCTGCTTCGACTAATGCTTTCTCATTAGCCCAAGCAGCACAGAGGTAATCAGCTGCTGGGGACTTGCTTAGCATTAGAACAATAAAACTGGTTTAATGGTGAATGGAAGTACAGCACCAAGGGACACAAGACACTATGTAACTACTTCAATGAAATCAAGCAATTACAGCATATTACTAAACAACCATAACTAAAACCTGTTCATCTTGGTTATACACTGGATTGGGAATTATAGGGAATTTCAAGTGAACTTCAAATTTAATGCCAAAATGCACTGGAAGAATTCTCCAAGTACTTCCAGTTTAGCGGTTTTGACCTTAAATTTGAATTGTCGCCAATTCTTAGAGTAGCCATTAACCCTGTGAATGTTATAAAGATCCTTTGTATAAAATCGAAGGGGGAAAAGTACTTCACAAATGTAACCAGACTTTAGCACCTAGGACCAAAAGTTGGGATATAACCAGCATTTTCATTATAAAGCAGAACATAACTTGCCACTAGTACATACCGGATGTACAGTTCATGCATGTATAAGTACACATGCTCTTCCTTATGGAAATAATTGAAGATTATACTAGCTTTAGTGTACTAATAATCTTAATTTTAGTAATGACAGGAGGCGAATATTTGCATATCTTTCTTTACTCAAAACTCCAGCAGCATAGTAACATAAACAACCAATCAGAAAAAGATATAATGCCCATAAAAGGCCCTGTCTATGACATCACTTCCTCTTTCTTTGAAGCGAAATGACAAAAAAATCATAAATATATAACCATAAAGAAACGTCCAACAGATCAACAGTCTAGGAACATGACCAACTTCAGAACTTCCGTGTTGCAGGTGTAGTAAGATAGATTCTTCGTCTTGTATTGAGGCTTTTCATACTGCAAGAAAAAGAAAAAGGTGAAAGGTCTCTGGCATGAAAATTTGTCTGCATGCAGTTCATTTAGGAATCTGATTTCATCATCCCTGTCTGAAGCTCAAAAAAATCCTTCTCTAAGCTAAAGCTTACTGACCCTAAACGACATAGGTATACACTCTGTAACCGGTACAACCATTCTCATACTCATAAAACGTACTGTGAAAGAATCTAAGTCTGAAAGTCTAACCCGGTAAATGTGTCTTCCTGAACGTAAAACCTAAATATCCACACAAGTAATCTACGGGAGGGATCCTATAGGGTGGGAAATATTCGCCTCCTGTCATTACTAAAATTAAGATTATTAGTACACTAAAGCTAGTATAATCTTCAATTTTACCACATGACAGGAGGCTTCATATTTGCATTTTTAAAGCTTCGAGTTGACTAACGTGAAGGAAGCATGAGAGGTTTGTCGAAAGTAAAACGTCCTAAAGGTACTCTCTCGCGACCAATCTGCGCTGCGCATAATGTCGGCCAGTGAGGCGCCGGCCGATAAGGCTTGGGAAGCCGCCGCCCCTCTGACCGAGTGCGCTCCGAAGCAAGGTTCAACGCCTGCTAAAGCTAGTAGCCAGCGGATCCATCTGGCCAGTGTAGTAGTGGACACTGGTCCGTGAGGTTTCACAAATGAAATCAGGAGCTGACCCGTCGGACGGGTTCGCAGGGAATTCGTGACCTCGGTATACCTCATCAGTGCTCTCACTAAACACAATTTGGGGTCTGATCCAAAATATGGATAAGACACTGACGCTGAGTCTGTTTTCGTGCGTCTCGATATGTTGAAGGTAACCCCTTCTGGTGTGAGGGAGAAACCGTCCACATCGAACGCTCTGATATCTGCTACACGTCTAAAGGAAACTAGGCACAATAAGAGAGCTGTTTCAGTGACAGATAGAGGTTGTCCGGCCATTCCCTAAGGAATTTCAATACCACCTCCACCTGCCAGAGGCGTGAATATTTGGGCGCTGGGGGCCTCATTAATTTGGCACCCCTCAGTAGCCGACAAATTAGAGGGTCTTGGCCTATCGGCTTGCCCTGGATCGGGACGTGAGCCGCCGATATGGCGGATCTGATCACATTGAGGGATCTATATGATCATCCCGACATGAACAGGTGTGATAGGTAATTAAGGATCAGTGGGATAGGTGCTGTAAAGGGATCGGAATCCCTTTCCACACACCAATCGTTCCAGGCCGACCATGCGGAAATATAGCATTTCCTGGTGCCAGGAGCCCATGAATCCCAGAGGAGGTCCTTAGCTGATTGCGATAGGCCGTGGACTGACCAGGAGCCCCTGAAACCGTCCAGGCTACTATTTCCAGCTGTCCTTCCAGGATGAGGGGGTGGGTCTCCCCCCGAGGTCCCAACAGGATTTGAGGGAAGGTGGGAAGCAGAAGTGGGGTCTCGTACGACATTTCCAGGAGGTCGGGAAACCACGGTTGGCTCTGCCAAAGGGGTGTAATGAGTAGGAGCGGTATCCTGTGGTTGCGTGCATATCGTAACACCCGTGGAATCATGGAGAACGGTGGGAATGCATATGCCCCTTGGGTGGGCCAGTCCTGTAGGAATGCGTCCGTCGCCTCGCTCTCCGGGTCCGGGAGCCAGCTGTAGTACCTCGGTAGTTGGTGGTTGGTCCTGGAGGCGAATAAATCTATTGTGAGTGGGTTCTTCCACCTTTGCAGTTCTTGGAATATCCCTCTGTTGAGCGTCCAGTCGCTAGTGTCCTGCCAGTGACGTGAGAACCAGTCCACTATCAGGTTGGAGATTCCCAGTAGGTATTCCGCCTGTAGCGTGATGTTCCATGCGAGGCAGAACTTGTAGATGTCTTTCGTGGCTTCTGTCAGGGCTTGAGACCTGGCCCCGCCCAGGCGGTTGATGTACTGCACCGCCGACACGTTGTCCATGCGGAGTAGGATGCAGCAGTTCGATTTGTCCTTGGCCAGACTGCGTATGGCGAAGGATCCCGCGATCAGTTCCAGGCAGTTGATATGGAGTTCAGTCTCTTCCCCCCCGCCACGGGCCTCCCGTGGAGGCGTCCGTGCAGTGTGCGCCCCATCCCCATAAGCTGGCGTCTGACTCCACGATGAAGTCTGGGGAGGCGCCGAAGATCGCCTTGCCATTCCACGCTTGAATGTGCAGTAACCACCATCGCAGTTCTGTCCTCACCTTCGACGACAGTGGGATCCAGCTGTCGTATGAATGTCCGGTGCGTAGGTATCCCGCCTTCAGCCGTTGCATGGCTCTGTAGTGCAATGGGCCCGGGAATATCGCCTGTATGGAGGAGGAGAGGAGCCCCACGATCCGGGCGAGCATCCTGAGTGTTATGGTATCCCTTTTCAGTACCTGTCTGATTTCCTTCCGTATCGAGGATATCTTCGTTTGGGGTAACCGAAGTACGCATTCCTTCGAGTCGATATCGAACCCGAGGAATTGGATTGACTGAGCGGGGGAGAGCGACGATTTTTGTCTGTTCACCATGAAACCTAAGGATTCCAGTAAGTGAACGACAAATTTCGTCTGTGATCTCAGCCTGGAGGCGGATTCGCAGAAGATTAGCAAATCGTCCAGGTACACGAGACACCGAATGCCCGAAGACCGGATGTGAGCCATCACTGGCCTCAGTAGTTTCGTGAAGCACCACGGAGCCGAACTGAGGCCGAATGGCAGACACGTGAACTGGCAGAGCTGAGCTCGCCATCGAAAGCGTAGGAAACGGCGGCTGTGTAAGTCCATGGGTACTGACAGGTACGTGTCTTTGAAATCCAGACGTGTGAACCAGTCGTTTTTGATGAGGAGGTCTTGAAGGAGGTGGATTCCTTCCATTTTGAAGTGCCTGTATGTCACGTATGAATTCAGTTGTCGAAGATTGATCACTGGTCTGTACTCGCCGGTTTTCTTCTTGACCAGGAAGATGTTGCTTATGAAGCCTTCCCCTCCCGTCGCGTACTGTATCGCGCCTTTCTTGAAGAGCGACTGAATCTCCTCGTCTACCAGGCGCCGTTGGTCCATTGACATGTGTATTGGGGGGTGGTCTGTACGGGTTGTGACGAGAACTCTATGATGAAGCCCCTCACCGTCTGGAGTACCCAGGCGTCTTTGGTAATGAGTTTCCAGTTCTGTAAGAAAAAGGACAGGTTGCCTGCTATAAAATTGGAAACAGCTTGGTATATAGGTGAACTCACCATTAGAGAAACGGCTGCGTCCTCGGCTCCTGAAGCCTCTCGACCTTCCTGCCCCTCGGTATGAGGATGGTCTTTGTGTCGTGGAAGGGAAGAAACTTGGGGTTTGTGAAAACGGTCTGGAACCTGATGCCCAAAAACGGCTGGTGGCTCGGTTCCTCTGCCGACCAGCCCTTCCAAAAACACCTCTGCCCGGTGGGTTGTGGAACACCTGTTTGAGCGAGGTCTGGGCCTTATTTAAGGTGGTGAAGAGGTTCACATGCTTTTTCAACTCTGAGATAAAAGCATCGCCAAACAAGAGCCCTTGAGCCTTCGGTCCGAATTCCTTGGCCCCTAGATCCAGTAGCTTGCTGTCTATGCGGATCAAGGCCGACCTACGTCTTTCGGTGCACAGTGCGGCGTTGGCGTTGCCTAAGAGGCACACTGATCGTAGGGCCCATTCCCGTATGATGTTCGGGTCGAGTTGGGAGCCCTGGTTGAGTGCCAGGTCCGCAAAATATAGCATCTTAGCGATGGGGCCGAGTAGGTCCAGCACCTTGTCCTGTGCCGCCTTCATGCCTTTCTCTATACCCTTGCGCGGGTCACGTCCTGAGCGGGACATAAAAACCACAACCGTGTTGTCGAATTCAGGTGTGAGCGCTACTTTGTCCGGTATCAGTGGTCTAGGACATTCTGCTCTAAGGCGTGCTCGTACGTCCTTCTCTAGGGGTTTGCGTAGCCAGTAGCGGACGAAGTTCGTCAAATGGTCTGGTAGTGTCCATTCGGAGGAGCGCGGGTGCCGGATCGAACAATGGGTTCCCTTGATTGTCCGTGAATGTTCCGTCCCCGGTTTTTCCGGATTTCTTGTCCCCGGTGTTTTCTACTTCTTGGTCTTCGTCGCCGAGAAAAATCTCCTTGACTTATCTCGAGGTGGTAGGTAGGTCCTGCCACTCTTCCTCCTCCGATGGCGAGCCGTCCCCGTGCCATTCGTCCACTACGTCTAAAGCGTGTGGCACATACGAGTCCTCTTCGTCTGAGGAAGGCAGCGCTCGGGGTGTAGGTGATCGCCTGTCTGTACTCTTACTCCGTTTGGCTGGTAATTTGCCCTTGGTCTGAGAGGACGGGGGGGAGCCTTTCCTCTGTCTCTTTACCTTGGAGAGCTCGGGTCCCGAGGCCTCCATTGGTTCTGTGGGGCTCGTGTCGCCCTGGCTTTGTGGTAGTGCCCGCAGTAGGGCCTTTTCTACCGAGGCCGCCACCGCGGAGTTAATCATAGCCTGAAAGTCTTGGCTGATCTGAGTGTCTTCCATGATTCGGTAAGACTTCTCTCGTTCTGTAGGGCGAAAGGAGGAGAGTCAGCGGGGTAGATGTGATGGTGGTCAGCATATACGGTGCCTGACTTCTGTTACAACTGGGGGTCGTCCATCAGTAAGTAGTGTAGAGAAGAGGGTGTGTGCCTGCAAATGTAGCGGGTATGGGAAAAAAATCTGGAAAGTGTGTGTCCAGATTCGCCACAGTTGTATCAGAGTTAGGTGCACGGCCAACAAGCAATCGTTAGGATGAGGTTTCCGTGCCTGTAATCGGGGTCACCCCGGGTGGTGTGCCGTGGTAGACCAGAGGACACCCACATCAATTAGAAAGGTCAGTGGATGACCGAGCATGCATATCTGGGGGGTCACCCCAGGTGGTGTGCCATGAAAAAAATAACCCAGAGGACACCCACACACAATTGTGCGGCAGGGCACAGTAATACAGCAGGACCCAGTGTAGGGTGTCCTGATAGCCTGTCCTTGGTTAGGGACGGTAATACATATGGTGTAATCCGGTGCAGGATATATAGAGGAAAAGTCAGCCTTTTTTTTATTTTATTTTATTTATTTTTTTTTATTTTTTTTATTTTTTTTATTATTGCCAGTATGCAGTCTGATCCAGAGTAGTAGTAGCTGATATGACCCTAAGCAGGGCATAGAGACATAAAGGTCTGAAGCTGGCAAAAAAAGGGGGGGGAGTGCTTGTCTCTTTAATGCATGCATTTATAATAGCTAGGCAACACAGCAGGCAGGCACTTGGCAAATATATATATTGAAAGGCAGAAAAAAACCACTGTAACCTAATACCCTCCCTTAGTACATACTAGGGAGGGTATACAGATGTGGAGCCCGGCGGTCGGGTGAGTTACCGATCCGCCGGGCAAGCGGGGAAGGCGGCCGTCCGGTATATCGCGAGCCGCGAGATCCAAGATGGCCGCCGCCCGCGTGTGAAGGAGCGCCGCGATCGACTGCGCGGCGCCGGAACGACGAGGGAACGCAGTTCCCAGTCCCCCTCCACCCGTCCCCTTGCCGGCCCCACAAAAAGGAAAACGTTAGCCGGCCCGCGGCGCGCGGCACTGACAGCCGTTGCTCGCGGGTACCGGCAGTGAAAGTAATAGGGGCCCAAGAGGAAAACTTGCAGGGACGGGGAGAAGGGAGCACGAAAGTAACAACTAAATAAAAATAAATTAATTAATGAGATAAATAAATGAAACTAGAAAAGCTACAATTTCTGGGGAAATTGTGTGAAGTGTTCTTGCCTCCACCAGTAGTCTACAACTGGAGTGGGCGGAGTAACTGTTATTATTTATATAGCATATTTAATTGCAACGATGTTGCACAGTTACATTAAACCATACATTTATAAAAACATTAGCAGGTGTTCAAAAGGCCCTGTCTATGACATCACTTGCTGCTGCAGCCTGACACAGGTCAGAGTATTTTGGCGGTTGCCATCTTCAAACGGTCGTATTTTACAAACTATAAATCCTACAGCGAAGAGCTTTATATTGTGAGAATCACAAGACCCAGACTTACGTTTTGATGCATAGTATGTCTCTGAAGTATTAAGAATGAAGGCACAGTCGCATTTTAGAAATTGCACTTCAAATTTGAGCTTTGTAGAGTGAAGTTTCAATGAATGTCAATGGACGGCGTTAGATGCAAACAAATGATTATATTGTGAAAACTATCAGGACTATGGCTTAGCCGTTGAAATGTTTAGTGGCAGCAGGGATAGCTGAATGTTTTGATATAAGATTTGTGTATGTGGGCCTGAAAATGAGGGAGTGGCGGCAGTTTAGAAATCATGTCCTGATTTTTCAGCTTTTGCCAGCTCCCACTCTAGCTTTGCCATTCATTCCTATGGGACAAATTTCGCCACAAGAACGACGATATTCCGTGAACCATTCGGCGAAACGTTCCACAAAGTAATAGCAATCCGATCGGGAACAATCTGCACGTTTTGGTAAATTTTGGTCTATGTAGTGTAAAAACTGTGGGAGGGGTTAGGGTGGCAGATTTGGCTATAATAAGAATAATAATAATATATATGTGAGATAACATTAAGTGGTCTTGCTATGCAAGAACACTTAATAAATAAATTGGCTAAATAAATAAATTAACTAGGTAAATAATAGAACAATACAATCCAAAAGACAGAGAAACAAACAATATATGTAAGCAATTGCCAGGGAGGCAAAATACTCTGACCTGATGTTGGCTGGAGCAGCAAAGAAAGAGGAAGTGATGTCATAGACAGGGCCTTTTATGGGCATTATATCTTTTTCTGATTGGTTGTTTGTTACTATGCTGCTGGAGTTTTGAGTAAAGAAAGATATGCAAATATGAAGCCTCCTGTCATGTGGTAAAATTCTCTCTCTCCTCATCTGCTACTCATTAATGATGGCAAGGAGGGAGGTATAGAGAGGAGAACCAGAGATAAAGTGTCTAGGAGGAGCAGGATGTGTGCATATTAAACTGTTTGTAGACATGTAATTGTTATTTTATTTTTTTTGTTGATTTCGTTTGTTTATTTAGTTATTTCTGTTTTTCTAGCTCCTGCCAGCAGCGTTTGTCTCACACCATTCTTAGCGATCTGGCTTTGGCTCTCATTGATGGTACAGTTTTCGAAATAGTACAAGGTCTGTTGGAGATTCAACATCTAACGGAGAAAAACCTTTACAATCAGCGATTAAAGCTTCATGCAGAGCACAGAGGTAACGGCAGGTGAACACTTGAGCACCAATGTATTCTGCAGTCTTGGGAACAGTCTATGGTTCCCAAGTTTTTTGTCAAATAATTTTGGGTAGTTAAACAAAAATCACCATCCAAGCCTTGTGGATTGAGCAACACTTATTGTATATACAGTATGTGCTGTTTTGTTCTCTACTTTTATTGCATATGCTCATGGAGAGGACTCAAGCCACACACACATTCTTGTGTGGGGATTGTACCACTCCACATTAATTAATAGGAGTAAAGCAGAGGCTTTAATAAATGTGAGTTAATTTATAGTCATCTTACCGATCAAATTATTACTTACTCTACATACTACGCTATGTAGGCATCTGTTCTGTTTTCTGCTTGATCTGTTCTACATTCTGCGGCACACTGAGCCTGGACCAAGACACAAACCTCACATTCTTAAGCGAGGATTGTACCACTCATGCACTTCAAGAGCTTTCTTACAGCTCATTAATGAGTAAGTGTATTTCTTATTCTATCCATGAGTATCCATAATGAGTATCTACTTGTCGTTTTTTTTTAACCCTGCAGTGCAAAACATTGTTTTGTAGGTACAACAATGTTTTTATTGCAGAGTTAAGCACACTTCTAGTGCCGGTCTTCCTGAGTCGGACTCTGTTCTCATTCAAATGCTGCTCAGTGTGGCGATTGCCATGCATGCACACTAGCCTGTCAATGCTTCCCTATGGGGAATTGCAAGGAGGGGGGTCACCTAAAACGGTTATTAAGCGACTATGGTTTTAGTAATACATATTTGTAATTCTAACGCTATAGTCCTCCTTTAAAAATGATTGGATGCTGAATGGAAGGACAGTGGCAGGGTATTCCAGACATTATAACGACTTCAATAAGATGAAGTAGTTCCTGTATCTCTTTTGAGACTATGCCTATAATGTAAAAAGGACCACAATATTATTGAGGTGTTTTGATGATTTGTTTAGAGTAATTCATTATAAATGTAAAAAACGATATACTCTCTTATAAATGTCCCAGAATGGCTGCAAATTGCTAGGGTCTGCAGGGACGAGGAAATAAGATATGTCCATAGTTATTAGAGGGAAAGCTGCACACAACCATTAAAACCCTAATTTATTCAGATAGTGACTTTCTATTGATAATGGTAGAAGCACTGAACTGGTTCATATCTAGGGTTATTCACTAAAGTGACAATTCATGGTGAATTCATGGTGCATTCAAAGTGAATTCAAAGCATAGTCTTTCTGATGTTACATTTTAGAGATAGAGAAGAAGTACCGTATATACTCGTGTATAAGTCGATCTCATGTATAAGTCGAGTGCAGTTTTGTGACCAACAATTGTGAAATATGATTTGCCTCGTGGATAAGTCGAGGGTAAAACTTGGGGCTATGAAATTCTGTGATTTTTATAATTATATACGCACACTCATACAAACACACTCTGCATTATATACACACACACTCATACAAACACACACTCTGCATTATACACACACACTCATACAAACACACACTCTGTGTATATAATGCAGAGTGTGTGTTTGTGTAGTATGTGTGAACTGAGTGGGGGGGAGGGCATTTTTGTTATTTTAATTTTTTTTTAATTTTAATATTTTTTTATTTTAAATTTTGTCCCCCCTCCCTGCTTAACTGGTCAGGGAGGGGGGCTATCTTAATCCCTGGTGGTCCAGTGGCATGGGCTGTGAAGTGGGGGGGCCGTCAGGAAGCATTTACTTACCTTTCCTGCAGCTTCTGTCAGCTCCCTTCTCCTCCGTTCCGGTCAGCTCCACTGTAAGTCTCGCGGTCTGGTTGCCGCGCGGATCGTTGCCATGGCTCTGACGGCCACGGCTCTCTTAAGTTGCCATAATACAGACAGTGACTCGAGTATAAGTCGAGTGGGGGTTTTTAAGCACAAAAAATGTGCTGAAAAACTAGACTTATACTCGAGTATATACTGTATATCTAAAACTATACTGTAGTTCCACTTGAATACAGCCAAAAACAATTTGGGATATTGGGTATTTGCATCCACATACACAATATAATTGTTTGTTTTTTTCACACATAATGTAAACATTGCAAAATTGTATGTTGGCTGCAAAAATTGGGAGGGGGGGGGAGAGGAGATTGTCCTCTGTGACAGAATAATTTAAAATAACTTTTTTTTTTTTTTTTTTTTTTTCATTGTAGCCTGACATGCAAAACTGGAAGAATTCACTCTTTTTGAGAATCTTTCACAGTGGAATCACTTGTTAACGCATTTATTGACTTATAGCATGTTTGATGGGTAGTTACACTTAGATTGACATATTCAATGGACTGGACAACTGAAGTATAAAGTCCATATACATCTACATGCACAGCTCACCCATGCTACCTCAAATGCTGCGCATTATATCTTGCAATGATTATTATCATGATTGGCACATGCTGCTGTTTATGTGATCACTATAGTCTGGATATAGGTGGATAAGCTTCCCAAATGATTTCATATTTTTGCATAAACTTTATTAAAAATATTTTTTTCAACATATTAAATTATCAAAAATATATTGTATTTCAGAATATTACCAAACTAAAATATATATGTATAATATTTAATCATTTTGAAAGCTTATCCAAAATATTAAATATCCACAATGTAATTGTGTTATTTTGTGTAAAAGAAATAAAACCTTTTCAAATTGCACCCTAGAGTTTTTAGGTAGTCTGCATACATGGCATTTTATGGTGAATGTGTAGATTCATGGACTTGCACACTCGCTGAATCTCCAGTGCTGAACCATGATGTAATTAAGGCCTAGACAAAATACCTGTATTAATTGTGTAGAAGGATAGGTGCCAGATAAGTTAATCACATCAGCTTTTGTACTTGAAAATAAAGTGTATTTTCATATCTCAGCCTTTAATTATTTTTAACTTTAATTATCACGAAAAGCATTATTTATATAATTTAGATGGCTGTTTGGAATCACATAATTCCTGTCAATAATCAAAATCTCTCCTCTTTAAGAAGATTGTAGTTTAAGCAGAATTAAAGGAGCACTATAGAGTCAGGAACACAAACATGTATTCCTGACCCTATAGGGTTAAAACCACCATCTAGCCACCCTGGTCCATTCATGCCTTCCTAAAAATAGTAAAATCTTACGTGCATTCAAGTCTGGAGCTGCAGGCTTTGTTTCTGTTTCCTGTAGACCTGCCCACTGCCTGCTGACATCATCAGAAGTGGTAGCCTGATCCAATCACAATGCTAGGATTGGCTGAGACTGACAAGGAGGCAGATCAGGGGCAGAGCCAGCACAATTCAAACACAGCCCTGGCCAATCAGCATCTCCTCATAGAGATGAATTGAATCAATGAATCTCTATGAGGAAAGTTCAGTGTCTTCATGCAGATGGCGGAGACACTGAATGTGTGGATACATTTTAGGCAGCCATGACCCAGGAAGGATCTCTAACAGCCATCTGAAGAGTGACCAGTGAAGTTATCACTAGGCTGTAATGTTAACACTGCATTTTCTCGGAAAAGACAGTGTTTACAGCAAAAAGCCTAAAGGGTATGATTCTACTCACCAGAACAAATGCAATAAGCTGTAGTTGTTCTGGTGACTATAGTGTCCCTTTAAGTTTGTTTCATAACATCTAACCAGTTGTCAAACAAGAGCCTACTAGTCTTATAGTAAAATAAGGAATAATAACACATCTTAATGTGGTGCATTTAACAAAGAATATATAATGCAAGAATAATGGTGTAACTAAGTTTTTACTGTACTTTTTTTTTTTTTTCTCCCTGTGGATAAACAACTATAAATGTTAAACACTAAATATTTATAGATATTGTAAAGAAGAATCAAACCGAACTATACACTTGTTTGTCTGTATTTATTGATTACATTCTATTTTTTCCTCTGTATTTATTGATTACAATGTGTTTTGTCATATAAATATATGTCTCACAAAGGGTTGAAACAAGATCTTGGACGGAAGCATAAAGAAGCACAGCAGTCCTGCAAAACACACAATATGTCTGTACTGAAAGCTGCACAGCAGAGGGAGTTAGAGGTAAAGTTTTTTGCCAGTTGTCTTAAAGTGAACCTGTTAAGAATTTAAATTGCTCCCATATACATTGAATACACCATATATCACATAGATACATGGTGTATTCCATGTAATATAAAGATTTATCCACTTTTCCTTTATTCCAGCGCCGCCATCTTCATGCTTTGTGGGTATTTCTCTATGTGTAACAGCCACCTCCACACCATCCTCCACTCATCCTCTGCTACAGCTTTGTTCTTCTTTGATTTACCCTGCACTGGGACACATCCCCAAGCAGGGCAAATCTTGCAGCGATGTCGTCATGCTAGCTTTGCTCCAGTGTCAGAGTGGATTGACCAGCTAGGGAGTTGCCATAGCAACTGCAACTCATGCTATGGGAGGAGACTAGAGGGACCTCCTGTAGGAGGTCTTTGCTACTCTCTCTTTTCAGTCAATACGTCAGGACGCCGAGGCATGGACTGACAGTTGGGAGAAAAACCTATTTTTAAATAGGTTTTTCTCATAATCTATACATTTACTAGCAAGCTTTCCCAACTTGCACAATGTATAGATAAAATCTTATCCTAAATATAACAAGCATAAGTTGTTTGGGGCATGACAGGTGCCCTTTGAAGTCACCATTTAAATCTGCAAGGTTGTTTTTAAATTATATTTTTGTACCACTACTTGTTAGAAATACCTTATTGGTAACCTGCTGATGACCGACTTGTCACAATGCTGTGGTCCATATGTCTTCTGACAAGAATACTGCATAATATACTGCAGGCTTCCAAGGTTCAAGGATTGGTTGTATAGAGCGTTATTTATTTATTTTTTCAGTGTTTTATATGTGTGTTATGGCCATTCTTTCCCTGGTGTGTCCCTTTTAAAAATATCTAATTCTTTATTAGCTACAAAATTCCTCTATCTTTACTAGAGATAGAAATGCTTTAAACCAGCAGCCAAACATCCGTCCGGCACCCAGGGCTCGACACTGGCATGAGTTGCAGCCAGCACAATGCCCAGTCCTGCCACCGGGTCACTCACATGCAAGGCCCAGCCAAACCAACGTAAGCAGGCAACACAGAGGGGTATCCTATAAGGCGAGGCAGAGAGCATGATGCAAGCGACTGCACCACAATCCCGACAGCGAGCCATATTAAGCCACAACAAAGACTTACTTCAGGGGCTCCCCTTCACCGCTCCTTCCACAAAAATCTGGCTCCACCTAAGAGACAGTGCCACATCAGAAGGCCCCACACTCCCAAACATGGCGCACAATATAACTGCTCCCCAAAAAGCCGACAACCCACCGGCTACACAAATTAGAGCACTTGTACCTACCAGCTGCGAGCAGCATCCGAGGGAAGCCAGCGAAAGGAACTTGTCACAGCCACATACTCTCCCCGATCTTCCCCACGTGGTGTAAAGACACAACTGCGACTTGGAGGATATGCTGTATGAAGATCAACACACAACATCACAGTCCTCAAACCGGCCCAGAATATGATGGACTTATGCCCAACTCACCAGAGGCCCTCCAGAAGGGGCATTCGATGAAGCCAAACCGGGAGGGAGACCCTTCCAACTACCCCAGGGGAAGACGACTACAACCATTACCCATGGCTCCTACTAAACGAACTGTTTTGCTTTTCTTGTTTATCTTCCTTACTGCTCTTTTATTTTTCATAACTAAAGGCAAAGTTAATAATTAGCCAGTTAGCACACCCCTACTCAGTACCCTCGAGGGCTCAAGCCCATGTGAATAGCACAGAATGTTAACCCCTCATGTATCACTCCCTACTCAATAGAGGTTACTCAATACAACCAAAACCAAGACAGGTTAACACGCCACACACCTCTCTCAGGACAAGATAGAGAATTTAACACTATTTGTCGTACTCGAAATAGGTCTACACACCCTAGTCTGAACACACATATGTCCTACTCATCTTGTCATTTAAATTTGTAACTCAGCGATCGCACCAATCTAGCACCTGTAAATAGAACGAACTCACATAAACCTACACGCATGCATGCCCTCTACATCTTGTTACCCAATCCTTCATCTTGTAACTTGTTACAATGGTTAAGCATACTAATATTATAAAAATGTGCAAACGTCTTTCATGCCACTGTTATCACTGTATTGTCAAAGTTTACGCTGTTGTGGCGTCATTGAATCGACTTGTAAACAACTTTACAACAAAATAAAGAATTAAAATTAAAAAAAATGCTTTAAAATACTTTAGATTTGAATGAGACCATTACCTCACTCTGCAGAATGAAAAGAAAAAGCAGGTTAATGTGATTTTTTTTTTTTTCCCTCTTCCCCACCACCCCCATGTACTTGATTCTACTTTCTTATGCTGTCCACACTCCATCAGGAGAGGAGGGGCGCTAATCTAACCAATGAGTGTCCGACCCCTAGGAATGTGCAGTTGGAAAATCTCTTCACACTGCCACATCCTAAATGACAATATCTGGCTTGAAAAGGGTACATTTCAAATCCAAATCTATAAAATCAAAATAGATGAAGAATGTTCTGCAGAGAATCCCACCAACAATCTTTCTTTACCTGGTTTCTCTTTTACGTTGCTTTTATACCAGGTTCACATATAAAATGTTCACAATGGTCCAAAGATAATACCTGGCCATTATGTTGAAATCTGGAGTTATCAAACCTTAAATCCTCTGTTAAAATAGACATGTCAAAGAAGGCAAAAGTATTCAAAAATGCTAATACAAGCACTTCAGAGTTAAAATACCGTTGCAGTGGTGGATTCTTCCTGCCAGACCTCTGAAGACATGTATATTACAAAGAGTCAAGTGAAGACCAAATGCAAACAGCCATCAACAAAACCAAAGAAAAAAGAAACAGACCTTCAAATTTCAGAGGTTTGAAGCACAACTCCATCAATCCTAGACTTCAAAGGGGAAAGGCCCACGTCTGATTTGAGTACACAAACTAAAATTCCATCACCTCAATGTCATGATTCATTCAACACAAAGGAACAGGAAACAGACTTCATACAGGGACCATCAGACTGGTTAACAAAACACCCTGTAACTGATGTTGGTCAAGGTAGAAAAGCACCCAGACCTAGATGTCCGATTCTAGAGAAACCGCTGCACCGTACACCTGAGAAACTTCAAGAGTTGAAAAGGGTTAATTTTGTTGAAGATAAGTCACAAATGACCTCAAGGAGTCGTTCTGTGAAAAGCAAAAGATTGGCCCAGTAGTCGTGTCTCGTTCTGGCTCCTGACACTAAGTGCTCCAATCAAATCAGTGCAAAGGCACGATATAAAATAAATGAATTGACACAGCATACTGGTGATAAGGCACCGGCCGCCGCTCCTCCAGGTGCTAAAGAATCCATAATGCCAGCTAAAACAGAAACTACAAAAAGAGCACTCTCCAGGAACTCAAAGCATAATCTAATCATTCGTCAGTCTTCAGACCGCAGCCCTCAAGACACTTCAGGGCTCTCATTGAGGATCAGCCAAAGGACAACGTCTTGGAGAACATTCCTACTAGTAAGCTGTCCAATCATAAGACACCTCAGGATACGGCCAAATGTCAGAAAGAGTAAGTTTTGGGTGCAGGACTGAAACAAAAAGAGCCCCTGAGATTGGAGAACTTCCAGGTGGACACTGCTTGTAGTATGAGACCACAGTGTAAAGCATATCTCCCCCCTAACGTGGAAGCCGGAAATGCAGGAAAAGTGCATTGGGAATGCCTGATAGATTTACACATGTGCAGTGGGAAGATCTTTTCGCCTTGTGACATCCTGACAGGGGGAGAAGAGCAGGCATCTGATCACATCCTGACGGGGGAGAAAAGGGAGGGCGTCTGATCACATCCTGACGAGGGGGACGGGGGACGAGAGGGCGTCTGATGACATCCTGACAGGGGAGGGAAGAAAGGGCATCTGATCACATCATGACAGGGGGAGAAGAAAGGGAGTCTGATTACATCCTGACAGGGGGAGAAGAAAGGGAGTCTGATCACATCCTGACAGGGGGAGAAGAAAGGGAGTCTGACCACATCCTGACAGGGGGAGAAGAAACAGAGTCTGATCACATCCTGACAGGGGGAGAAGAAACGGAGTCTGATCACATCCTGACAGGGGGAGAAGAAAGGGAGTCTGATCACATCCTGACAGGGGGAGAAGAAAGGGAGTCTGATCACATCCTGACAGGGGGAGAAGAAACAGAGTCTGATCACATCCTGACAGGGGGAGAAGAAACGGAGTCTGATCACATCCTGACAGGGGGAGAAGAAACGGAGTCTGATCACATCCTGACAGGGGGAGAAGAAACGGAGTCTGATCACATCCTGACAGGGGGAGAAGAAAGGGAGTCTGATAACATCCTGACAGGGGGAGAAGAGAGGGAGTCTGATTACATCCTGACAGGGGGAGAAGAGAGGGTGTCTGATTACATCCTGACAGGGGGAGAAGAGAGGGTGTCTGATTACATCCTGACAGGGGGAGAAGAGAGGGTGTCTGATTACATCCTGACAGGGGGAGAAGAGAGGGTGTCTGATTACATCCTGACAGGGGGAGAAGAGAGGGTGTCTGATTACATCCTGACAGGGGGAGAAGAGAGGGTGTCTGATTACATCCTGACAGGGGGAGAAGAGAGGGTGTCTGATTACATCCTGACAGGGGGAGAAGAGAGGGTGTCTGATTACATCCTGACAGGGGGAGAAGAGAGGGTGTCTGATTACATCCTGACAGGGGGAGAAGAGAGGGTGTCTGATTACATCCTGACAGGGGGGAGAAGAGAGGGCATCTGATCATATCCTGCCTGGGAGAGAAGAGAGAGAGAGAGAGAGAGTCTGACCAGTGTGATCATGCAGAGAAGGCTCTGGTGTCTAGTTTCTCTCTCCTGCTGCTGCACAATGATGCTCTGTTTCTGTCCTAAGTGGACTCATCTGAGACTGAGTTAGGTGGGTAAGAAGAAGGGTTAAGCTGGAAAAACACCTAGCTGAGAGGTGTGCCCAACAATGCAATCTGACAAAGTTTTTAGCTTTCAGTGTCACAGAACTGGCTTGCAGAACCAGTTTGGATCACTATACTGAAACTTGCATTGTCACTGGTCACAGGAACCCGGCTGTTGATGGATCATTGGGAAGTGGAAGACAGAACAGGCAACTTAAAGGAGCACCGGGGGTAAAATAGAGTGATCACATGTAGCATATGAATTATTAGAATGGGGGGCAGTTTCCCTATAAAATGACCATGTCACCATCAGGTCCCAGGTTTGTGTTTTCTAATGTAGAGTGTCTTTGTATTGTTTGCACTGAAGGACAGATACCTGGATACCAAGTGCAGTATAAAATCAGAGTAAAACATAAAAAGAAAAGGGTACATTTCTTTCCAAGCCAGTTTTGTTATTGGGAAGTCACTTTCTGGCTGAGAGTGTCAGCTGACCGCTCTCAGCCAATCAGCAGTGGCCCTGCCCAGCTGCATTTTGCACTTCCTGAAACTGAGATTTCAGAAGCCAGGCGACGCGGTGGGAAGGTAGGTGAGATCTGCGCTGGAGGCAACTTTGGTTTAACTGCTTCAAGTAAAAGGACTCCAGGGGCCTCCGGGCACCTTAACAACTTAATTTAGATTACTAAAACAGTCCCTTTAAGTCAGTATTAAAACAAGCAGTCACGTCTCCTCTTAGAGGTGCAGAGTTTCTATTTGATCTAAGATAAATGAAAGTGAATAAGTGAATATTGCTACATAAGCAAGTAATGCGTTTTTGTTCTTTTTGGTTTTTTTGGTAACAATATGACACTTTTTTTTGTGCCTGCATACCTTCCACTCTAAGTTGGGCTGATAAAGCGGAAGTTCATATTCAACAGGTTTAAACAGTTTTCATGTGCAGAAATAGTCAGCTGACTATGAAATTCTGCTTTATAAGGCCAATTCAGAATTGAAAGACTACAGCCACTAGACATAGGAAGGTAAGTGTCAACAGTTTGACAGATTACCAAAGGATGGCATCTGAGGATCCTGACATTCTAAATACTACAGTATGCTGTATCGGTTATCATACTTATACTGTCATTTTAACTATTCAGGGTCCAAATACATTGCTTTACCAAAAAAAAAAAATTAAGGGTTGCGGGGGCAGTGGGGTTTTCACTTCTCTTTTTATCTGTTGTAGGTGAAGTTGTTTTTATTTGTTTTTTTTTAGATTCATTCAAACCTTGTATTTTTACCGCTACTTCTTTTTATGATATTAATGTGCATTTTGACAAAGAATTTCACAATGTACATACAATGATTAAATTTCCATATTATGTCAAATTTTTCTTCTTGTTCTTTGTAGTCTCTGGAACATCGAATTAAAGAGGAACAGCGAATGATGGATGAAAAAATTGTTCTGGAACTCGATCAGAAAGTAATTGATCAGCAGAGTACCTTAGAGAAAGCAGGTGTTTCTGGCTTCTATATTACAACAAACCCTCAGGTACTTATTAATATTTTTAGTCCCATACAGATTTACTGTATACGTGTGTTGGGCATCCATCCAGTAAGCACTCTGCATAAAAGATTTTAATTTAGAGCAAGAACAGTGTGCGCATGTGTGTGTATATGTATATTTATGCCTTCCTCACTAATCTTTAAAATTGTTGGACAAACAAAGCATTGTAGTGATACATATTGAATTATGCAGCACGAGATCCAGCTGATACATTTAATCAGTATATTGTTTAATCAGTCTATTGTCCTATTACTTAACTTTATGGCTTTATTTCTTCTTTAGAATAGGCACTATTTGCAATTTTAAGTTAATCACCCCTGCTTCCTTTCAAAGGACCCTATAGTCCTGAAAATAACCATTGTAAATCCTGGACTATAAGTACCCCTCTGTCATTGCATTGTATCCCACTCTCTTGAACAATTATGCAAACCAAAATAAAGCAAGAAAAACTTGAAATATGTAATAAACGTCTTGGTCAAATGGTATTGTTGGGCACGCCTCTTAGCTATATAAGTTTCTTCAGCCATCTCCCTCCTACACACCCCTATCCGTTTTAGACCAGTACACTAATGATAGAAACATTGTGCAAAGACAGAACCCGACACTAGAGCCTGCTTTGCATCATCAGACTGATAACTCTCTCTATTCTCCCCTTTCAGGATGTTGCAAGGTGAAGAGATCTTCCATCTGTAAATGTGTCAGACAATGCCCACATTCCTAGGGATATGACACTAATTGGTTAGATCAGTGTCCTCCCTGGAGTGGGTGTGTAAAGCATAAGAAATAAGAAGCAGGTAAATATGATTTTAAAAATCATATTTATCTGATTGTTTTTCATCATGCAGAGTGAGGCAACTGTCAAATTCAAAGCTAAAGCTTTTGAATTAGACAGCTGATTCAAAGTGGGACATGTCCCTTTAAATAAGAGTGCAGAGATACAAAGCTAAATAGTCAAACTATAAAAATAACTTATTTGCATTTTCTTTTCTTTCAATTTGGCAATTTTGGCCTAATATTTGAAATTCCTTGGTAAATTCCTTTCAGTTTAAAGTTTATTGAACAGCCTGTAAGTGTATATTATTTTCTCTTTTTTATAGTGATTTATTTGAAAGGTGTTCAATAAACGAGAGTATTGGGAAATATGACACCATGGCACGAATATAATAACAAAACAGACTGGTTTTTTTTTTTTGTCTTATTTTGATCAGCTGAGCAGTATTTTGGTATGTGATAGGATTATTTCTTTGTGCAGACATTTTATTTTACGTATCCTTTGTTCTATCCTAGGAGCTGACATTACAGATGAATTTATTAGAGTTAATCCGCAAGCTACAACAAAAAGAGTCTCTAACAAGCAAAGGGTTTCCTTGAGCTTTTGGTGACTAGTTTGACAAACTGCAAATATTTGTTCTCCTGAAGTGGATAACAGAATTGTTCTATATTGGGCCAAAATAAGTGATTTTGTAATGCAAAAAATGGCAAAGACATGTATGAATTAGCAATTTTTTTTCTCACCTATAGATCGCACTAACCAAGCAGGAAGAAAATGATTTCTGTATTTTACACTTGCTTTCTGGCCCTTCCAGCTAGTAGCCTTATGGTCCATTGAAGTGAATCTGGACCAACCTGCTTTGCAAGCATTCACAGTGCTTTTTCTGGGAGCAATGTGTGACTTTTCATGTAGAACCAGTGTGGCAAATACCAAGAAATGTTCCAAGCTGATATTCATAAGATATCAGTAATTCAAGGCCTTCAGTATATATGTTTGCTAAGTGTATAGATAAAAAGTGGCACATCATATGTCTATTAAAAAGGAAAAAATCTTATGTGAACCATACAATAACTTTTTTTTTATATATATATATTTCCATTTGTAAATTAAGTTATTTTGCCTTGAAAATGGCACTCTGTTATACAGTTGTATTAATAAACATTTTCTTGGCTTTACTTCAGACTGTATTTCTTTATCCTCATACTTCAGAAATATTATAAATTCATAGAATGGAAATGGATTGTCTGAAGAGACTTTTCATTATTCACTGCAAATGAAGAGCAAGAAATTCGTTTTTTTTTCTTCTTATTTTCAATTCTGCAAGTATTATGTAGGGAAATGTAACAATCAAAGAACAAAAAGAAAAAATAACTGCACTATTTCTACGATGAAATTTTACATCCACACATTGTGCTTGCAGACATATATAAATGAAAATATCTATATTTTTTTTTTCGGCAAATGATTTAGGTAAACTAGAAAAATGGTCAGAGTTGTGGCAACTGACATTTAATGTAGATAAGTGCAAGATAATGCATCTTAGACGTAAAAACCCAAGAGCACAATATAGAATATTTGAGTCCTAACCTCAACATATGAGGAATGGGATTTAGGGGTAATTATTTCTGAAGACTTAAAGGTAGGCAGATAATGTAAAAGAGCAGCAGGAAATGCTAGCAGAATGCTTGGTTGTATAGGGAGAGGTACCCTCAAACTAACCTTACAGCTAATAGCTTTGCATGCTACTTTACCAACAAGATTGAACAGCTAAGGAAACAATTCTCCCCTCCTTGCCGTTCTCTTTCTCAACCACACATAAATCATGCCTTCCCTACCCTTCAGACTTTCTCCCCAGCTACTGAACAAAAGGTGGCTGTGTTTCTCAATTCCTCTCGCCCCACCACTTGCCTGCTCGATCCTGCCCCATCCCACCTCATCAGATCTCTCTCCTCTTGTTTTGTGCCTACCCTAACACACATCTTTAACTGTTCTCTCTCTTCTGGCACTGTTCCTGCTGACCTTAAACATGCCACTGTAATACCTGTCCTGAAAAAAAACATCTCTTGACCCATCCTTCCCCTCTAACTATCGTCCAATATCCCTGCTCCCTTTCTCAACAAAGCTTTTGGAAAGACTTGTCTTTACCCGTGTGTCTCGCTTCCTCAATTCCAACTCTCTCCTTGACCCTCTTCAGTCTGGCTTCCGCCCTCTCCACTCTACTGAGACTGCTCTCATCAAAGTCACTAATGACCTAATTGCAGCTAAATCCAAAGGTCACTACTCCATATTAATTCTCCTTGACCTCTCTGCTGCCTTTGACACCGTTGATCATGCTCTCCTCCTTCAAACTCTTCAATCGCTCGGTCTCTATGACTGTGTCCTCTCTTGGTTTTCCTCCTATCTCTCCCAATGCTAATTCAGTGTCTCCTTTTCCAAGCATACCTCCTCCCCTCATCCTGTCTCGGTTGGAGTTCCCCTTGGTCCTCTTCTATTTTCTCTTTATACTGCCTCTCTTGGCAAGCTTATTGCCTCTTTTGGATTCAAATACCACCTGTACGCTGATGACACTCAGATATACCTCTTCTCCCCGGACCTCTCCCCCGCCATCCTGCAACGTGTCACTGCTTGCCTTTCTTCCATCTCTGATTGGATGTTCTCACGCTTTCTGAAACTTAATCTCTCTAAAACTGAACTCCTTGTCTTTCCTCCTCCTTATACTGATCCTTCTCTCTCGCTCTCCCTTCAAGTCAGTGATATCCACATAAGTCCATCCTTGCAAGCACGCTGTCTTGGCGTCATACCTGACTCTGGCCCCACCTTTGAGCCTCACATCCAGTTTGTTGCCAAATCCTGTAGGTTCCAACTCAAAAACATAGCCCGCATCCGCCCCTTTCTTATGCAAGATACGACCAAAGAGCTTGTCCATGCTCTAGTAATTTCCCGCATGGATTACTGTAACCCTCTCCTTATTGGTCTCCCCAAAAGCCGTATTGCCCCGCTACAGTCTGTAATGAATGCTGCAGCTAGACGGATTTTCCTCTCTACATTGGCTTCCTGTATCCTATAGGAGTCAATTCAAAGTGCTAACCCATACATTTAAAGCACTGAACAATTCTAGCAACTCTTATATCTCCTCAATGATCCATAGGTATGCCCATCCTCGTTCCCTCCGCTCTGCCCGTGACCACCTCCTGACCACTGCTCGCACCCGTACAGCCAACTCGCGCTTGCAGGACCTCTCGCGGGTGGCTCCTTTCCTATGGAATAGCCTGCCTACCGCCATCAGACTCTCCCCTAGTCTTCAATCATTTAAGAAGAGCCTTAAACCCATCTCTTCAGGAAAGCTTATGGCCTCCCAGAGTAACCTCTACCTTACATACCTGTCTCTTGCTCTCTCTATTCTCTCTCCTCCAGCTCTACTTCATTCCCACCCTATTTGATTGATATTTCCTGTCCTAACGTGTCTTATACCCCACCTCCTATAGACTGTAAGCTCATTTGAGCAGGGTCCTCTTCAACCTATCGTTCCTGTAAGTTTTCTTGTAATTGCCCTGTTTATAGTTAAATCCCCCCTCTCATAATATTGTAAAGCGCTACGGAATCTGTTGGCGCTATATAAATGGCAATAATAATAATAGAAAGAGGGAAGTGCTCATGCCATTGTACAGAACACTGGTGAGACCTCATTTGGAGTATTGTATGCAGTACTGGAGACCGTATCTCCAGAAGGATATTGATACTTTAGAGAGAGTTCAGAGAAGGGCTACTAAACTGGTTCATGGATTGCGGGATAAAACTTACCAGGAAAAGTTAAAGGATCTTAACATGTATAGCTTGGAGGAAAGACGAGACAGAGGGGATATGATAGAAACATTTAAATACATAAAGGGAATCAACACAGTAAAGCAGGAGACTATATTTAAAAGAAGAAAACCTACCACAACAAGAGGACATAGTCTTAAATTAAAGGGGCAAAGGTTTTAAAATATCAGGAAGTATTCCTTGTAGTGGACATGGAATAGCCTTCCAGCTGATGTGGTAGAGGATAACACAGTGAAGGAGTTTAAGCAAGATTGGGATAGGCATAAGGATATCCTAGATATAAGATAAGACCAGGGACTTATGAAAGTATTTAGAAAATTGGGCAGATTAGATGGTTCTTATCTGCTGTCACATTCTATGTTTCTATGTTTTGCTTATGTTGTTGGTAGCCGCCCTGCTTTCAAGTGACACAATGACACCCTACAATAACTTGAGTGCACACCAACATTAGGAATTCTAGGATGCCAGGCATAAAATCCCAAAACGGTCTGCACACTTTTCTCAAGATATTCTCAAGTTATTTTCAGAAACCCACTGTCACCCTTGGACTGGCTATTTGAGATTTTCTGATGAAAATCAAATGGAGGAAGATAGGCTTCCGTGATACATCCTTTTAGAATTTGCAACTGCAATAAATTAAAGGGTTGCTCTTAAACATTGAGGTGGTCATGGTGCTTGAAGTGGTCATGCAGTGGTCTACAGCAGACTCCTAGGTGCATCGCAGCAAGTGTTGCGCATGTGCCAGTGTTCCCCCAATGCTCATCTATGAGGAGCATTTGATTGGGCTGTTATCCTAGAAGCACGCCCACAGGATGACATAACGCTAGGAGGAGGTCGAAGCAGCAACAGGGAGTCCTGGCGCTGGAGAAATTGTGAGTTATTTATTTTAGTTTTTTTTAATTACACAGGGAGTAAATAAGAGGCATCAGTAATTTAGCATTAGGAATACATAGATGTTCCTTTAAAGGAGAGCTGACACTTCTTCCTCATTCTTTCACCCCCATAAACACTATAAAAGCAGTTACTTGGGTATTCTTTCTGTAGTGTATGTAGCATGTTCTGACTAAACTAGAACCGTTAGGCATGCCTTGCAACTTTTTAATGAAAAGATGTGGAAGTTAAAAAAAAAACATCATTATATTATGTAGCACAACCAATAATCAAACAATATTTCTACTGCACAAACAGTTCATGCTGAGAATGTATGCAAACATGTTTGGGAAAAAAAGCATGTGTTAATATTATAGACATATCACACATTTCTTAAAGGTGTTATCTTAATGTGTAAAATAAATTTTCACTCTACTGAATTTTGTTTGAACAAGTCTTTTCTGTTTTTAGCTTAACAAAGTTTTTCAGCATTTCTCATATATATGTTAAAAGACTAATTAGTTTCTGCTGTAGTATAGAAAATAAATGGGTTTTATAAATTGTAAAGTGCAAAATTGCATTAATGAACCTATTAAATTGGGTATGTGACTTTTCCCACTTCCAGCACCTTGCATTATAATACAGTATAAATGGACCTCTTACTGTCCCTCTTTACAGCTATTGTAGAAAATGATTTAAAAAAAAAAAAAGAAAATCTGGGCATATTGTTATTTTTAAGTTCTTAAATTTCAACAAATTAGGCAGTGTATGTGCGAATACAGTTTTAGGCATGTGTGAAAAAATTCTGCAAAGTAACATTGCATCCAAATGTAAATGTTCATTGCTTATTTTTATGAAATCACAAAATGCAATGGAAATTAACAGAAGTGAATCTAAATCCAATCCATATTTGTTGTGACCACCCTTTGCCTTCAAAACACCATCAATACTTCTAGGTATACTCGTACTTTAAGATTTTGTATCACACCGCAATTCTGCCACCCTCCTCATGTGTTCCCTTTTAAGAGTTAATACATTTTTAGGGGTTCATGAAAATACCCCTCCCTGCACATTGGATATTATTTAACTGAAGCTGAAAGAAGCAAGGTGAATTGTTTGCAGGGCCAGCCTGTCCATAGGTCCTGGTGGGGCCATGTCTACAGGCAGCACTTTGCCAGGGGTGGCATTTTGTCGCCCCTGTTCACTTTAACCAGCCTGCTGTGGGGCCCGGCTGCCTATCTGCATACGTGTGTGTATATACACTGCTCAAAAAAAATAAAGGGAACACAAAAATAACACATCCTAAATACTTTGTTCTTTACATAGTTGAATATGCTGACAACAAAATTACACAAAAATTAAAAAATGGAAATCAAATTTTTCAACCCATGGAGGTCTGGATTTGGAGTAACACTCAAAATTAGAGTGGAAAAACACACCACAGGCTGATCCAACTTTGATGTAATGTCATTAAAACAAGTCAAAATGAGGCTCAGTAGTGTGTGTGGCCTCCATGTGCCTGTATTACCACCCTACAATGTCTGTGCATGCTCCTGATGAGGTGGCGGATGGTCTCCTGAGGGATCTCCTCCCAGACCTGGACTAAAGCATCTGCCAACTCCTGGACAGTCTGTGGTGCAACGTGACGGTGGATGGATGTGATAATATTTCATATTAATTAAGTATGATTAATTGATCACTATTGAGCAACTCAAACATTTATAGATAGTTAAGATGGCACCGGTAAGCATATAAGCACACATAGCACGTATTACTAGATGCAGGCTTGAAGGCCACAATTACTAGATGCAGGCTTGAAGGCTTTATGCCACAGCTATTAAGAGCTGACACAGCACTACAGCTGTTTACTAAGCTGACACAGCACTATAAGCTGACACAGCACTTCGGCAGTTTGAGAAACTTATGTTGCCATCAAAAAACTTATGTTGCCATTTCTAGAACAGTACAAAGAAAGCTTGTAGATAAGAGATAATTAACCGCACAGGACTTGGCATAAGTTCTGGTGGTCCTGAACAGTCTGGCCAACTGCCAGGTCCATCCAGCTGCTTGTATCAAGGTCTTTTGCTGGGCTGCACTGATAAGGAACTACTGACTGTCCTTGAAGACAGGTATATAAGACTAAGGGAATCTTGTGCTCCCTTGGAGAACTACCCACCTGTAATGCGGACGCGTGTTACTGGTTTCTACTGTTCCCAGAAGAGAGGGTCTCTTCGAGTGACTGCTTGAGTTCCCCCCTGTCATGTGTGGCAAGGAGATAACCAAGCTTCTCTAATGGTGATGTATCTAGATACTAAGCTGTTTGAAGTAAATGCATGCAACTACTTAAATGAGAGTAAAACTTACTTTGCTTAGATCGCTTTGTGGATAATAAAGTGTAGTGTGAATTCTTATATTCAACTTGGTCTCTGTGTGATTTCTCTTTCCTATAACTCAATGTACTCTATCCGAACTCGGTTGTGTGCCCGCCAATATCGCTATAAACCTTATTAGGTATTGATTATTACTTTTTGGATATTGGTGCTTCATGAATTTAATGATTAGGCACAACATTTTGGCGCTGCGAGCAGGGTTGAGTATTAATTGAGCAAGGAAATTCGAAATCAACAAGTTAAAATAGTTTAAAATAATAGTGTGTTTAAAAGTTAAGAATAGTTAAGATAACAAAATTGTGTTTAGAAATTGTTAGTACTGTCTATGTGAATCTTGAGTAAAAGGGAAAGTGAAACTAACATTGTACGAGGTTTAATTTCTGCATGCGTCACGGAGGAAAAAAAGCTTTTTGAAAGCTATCAGTTTCTTCCAAGCGCTGCAATCGTAGATAACAAACATTATGGTTTCTAGAGATTCTTTGAACATTGTGTAAACTTGAAAATAGTTACATGACATTGCAAGAGCAAGATTGGTGAGTAAATGCTCAATCTAATAAGATTGAGGAGTGCTTCTGAAGATTGATTCAAGAATGTATGTTGTGCTCAGTTGGTAGACGCACCTATACATCTTAAAGGTGTGTAGAATGCCAGTGCCTTCTGGGGAGTGTCACCCTCAAACAGGCTAGCATCCTGAATGAGGCTGAATTGCTGCTAATTTAATAAGCTCAATACCAGGTACTGAGATAAGCTCACCAAAACCACAAGATTGTTTGGGGTGATTCTGACACGAATGGGTGATTGTGCTTGGTCATTTAACAAGTGCCCCTACGCGCCTTAATAGGTGCTGGAAGCCAGTGCTGACCGAGGAAGTGAATGAAACGGCTGTTCCTAAAAGTGTGAGACTGTTGGTTCAATCATAGATGCCCCTATGCACTTTACGGAATGTGTAGAAAGCCAGTGTGATCGGGGAGCGCAAACCTGCAGCCAGATTAGTCATCTGGGCAGGCTCGAGTGAGAAATAAAACAATAAGCCAGACACTAGGTGTCTGGATTAGTACATATTCAAGTGAAATTAAATAAAACACATAGTACACACATCTCCAAGGAGTGCAAGTTTATTCTGAATAAACCATAAGAACTTTGCACAATGTTTAAAAACATTCCCGAATGGGAAGATGAGCCATATGCATCCATTGCCAGTGAATGAGCCCGTTCAGCTGGTAAATGTGATTATGAATGTGAAAAAAGTAAAATTGACATGCCTACTAACCTTCTTGCTTGTCTGAAAAAGATTCCCAAAGATAAGTGGCAGAAAAAAGGTTGGGTAACACTTACTGCTTACAGACAAACACACAAGGGCAAATGTCAGATAGAAAAAGAAAAGCATTTGTATGAAACGTTGTTGCAAAGATCTGTAATGACGGTAACTAGAGCCAAGTGTAAGGTTGGGACTCGTAAGATTAGCAAGAGGAAGATGCAGGTGTGTTTAGCACAAGTAGGACCCGATTGGGATCCTAAAACTTGGGATGGCAACATCTGGAGCTCAGATGAAGAGTCTGAAGGGGTAACTGCATTGCCTGAGGTCAGAAGAAAGTTGGAGTACACTGACCTGGGATAAGTTTGCAGGACTTCCATGGAAGACTATACACAGCAAGAGATGGCTGATATTCTTTCAACCTTCAGGCAGCGGCCAAAGGAACCGTTGGATGAGTGGGTTGTCAGACTAACCGAGACAGGGACAGGAGGCATCAATCTTGATGCCATAGGCTCACCTACGTTGGCCACTATCTCAGAGGACGAGAATGTCAGGAGGATGTTTTTAAATGGACCTCCCGCGATTGATGGGAATCCAGCTTCACTCACCCTCCTTGAGCTTGTCCAGATAGGGTTGAAACTGAGGTACCCATCTGTCAGTGACTGGCCAGATAACGACAAACCATGGTACAGGCTGACAGATGCAGTAAGGAAGCTGAAGCAGGAAATTGTCCAACAGGCTATCCAGAATTCCCAACAGCTGGAAAGGGTGATGGAAATGCCTGTGACAGTCCAAATGAGAAATAAGATCATAAAAACTGCCCATCCAGCATATAAGCAGGTAACAATGACACTGCTTATAAATCAAACCGGAAACCCATTGCAATTGGTTACTGAAGCCATTATGCAATTGGGAGATTTGGGAGACTGGGCACCCAGGACCCAGGTGCCCAAAAACCCTGGTGAGGGAGGATCCTCAAAACCAGGTCCATCCACATTCAGATCAGCTGGGACACCGAAGGATGGAAATAATGAAAACCGGGTAAGTAGAAAAGAAATGTTCCTAGTTCTCCTCAGAGAGAGGGTAAGTAAAGAACATATCGATGGAAAAGATACTTCTACACTCTGGAAGCTATACAAGAAAAAGGGATTTCATAAGAAAGGAGTCAAGGTAAATACCTACGGACAGATGCCCCAAACCCTTGGGGATGGCCAGATAAAGTACCATCCTTACAGTGGAGGAGAAGGGAGCTGACCGGAACGCAGGAGAAGGGAGCTGACAGGAGCTGCAGGAAAGGTAAGTAACAGCTCGCTGCCAGCCCCCAACAGGACCGCCGGCGGTCCTGGTCTGTATTATGGCAATGTAAGTTGCAATAATACAGACAGTGACTTGAGTATAAGACGAGTGGGGGATTTTCAGCACAAAAAATGTGCCGAAAAACTTGAGTATATACGGTACTTGACGAGTATGCACACAGGGAATTGCCCGATCTGGGAGACTTGTATTTGACAGACCTAGACAATAAGAATTGACTAGTGAGGTAGGCTCCAGTTATTGATTTTTCAGTAAAAGACCATAGACCCCATGTAAAAGTTGAAATTTACTGGAAAAATAAAAATGTTGAAAGGGTTACTGCCCTTGTGGACACTGGAGCCGAAGCCACTTTAATTCATGGTAACTCTAAGAAATTTGCTGGATTACCCTATGAAATCACAGGTCTGGGAGGTAAGAGGACAGAAGCAGTCCAGACCTGGGTAGAACTGAAAATTGTACAGTTGCCAAAAAGGAAGTGTTCGTTTTAATTGTCCCCATACCTGAATACATAATTGGAATTGATATCCTTAAAGGATTGACCTTACATTTGGGGGATGGCTGTTACAGTTTTGGAACTAAACCCTATATATCAGCCAGACCAGTGGTGGTAGGAAAATTGTTAATGCCCCCAGTGCAAGTACCACCCGCTACTAAAGTAGTACATATGATGCAGTACAGGATCTCAGGAGGCCACAAAGAAATTGGAGAAACCATAGATGACTTACTAAAAGCTGGGGTCCTGCAAGGGGTCACTACTGCTTGGAACAATAGTGTGTGGCCAATACGTAAAACAGACTGTACATGGAGAATGACGGTAGACTACAGAGAATTGAACAAACACACACCTCCACTGACTGCTGCTGTCCCAGACACCGTCACGCTTATAGAAAATATACAGAAGCATCCAGGGATCTGGTATGCAGTTATAGATTTGGCTAATGCCTTCTTCACTATTCCAATAGCTGAAGAAAATCAAGAGCAGTTTGCTTTCACATGGTTAGGGAGGCAATACACATCCACCAGGTTGCCACAGGGATACTTGCATAGTCCCATCATCTGTCATCGGCTGGTGGCAGAACATCTTGATGGGAGAGAGAACCCTCCCCCCCCAGCAATTCCAAAGGTAAGGAGGCTGGGGGGGGGGGTTAAATACAATTTTTAAAAAAGTGTTAATGTGAGTGATTGTGTGTGTGTGTGTGTGTCTGACTGTGTGTTTGTGTGTGTTTGTGTCTGACTGTGTGTGTGTGTGTGTCTGACTGTGTGTGTGTATGTGTTTATGTGTTTGTGTCTGACTGTGTGTGTGTGTGTCTGACTGTGTGTGTTTGTGTTTGTGTCTGACTGTGTGTGTCTGACTGTGTGTGTATTGGGAAGGGTTGGGTGGCGGTGGCGCGAGGGGAGGGGGGCGCCTGAGTTTTGTCGTGCCTAGGGCAGCACAAAACCAGGATACACCACTGGGTGTACGGCCATACTCTGCATGCTCAGGACAAGGGGTCTCCCTATTTTCCTAAGGTTTTAACGAAAAAAGACTTCCTATATGTCATTAGGCATAACATTGGTTTTGACTTTTTAGTAAGAAATGACACAAGTGAAGCCCCTAAGATCTTCTTAAGTGAAGATACTACTGACAGACCAGGTGTAGTTAAGCTGTGCATGGGGGAGTGGGAATACCCTAGAGACTTGGAGGAAGTGGTCACTATTAATGTGTATCAAAGGTACTATACAGACAGGGACTACCAACCGACTATCCGACCTGGCCATTATGTAAATACCATGGCATTATCCACTTTTTTCACAGGATGTAGTTTTGAATATTTTAATGGGACAGAAAATTATGAAAAAAGGACAGAAGACAGGTGGAAATATCTTATGGGCGAAAGTGAGGCTAAAACTATAAGTCATTGGTGGTATAAATTAGTGGGTGCAGGAGTATTTAGCACTTCACATTTAAACGATCTAAAATAAGCTGTATAAACCACCCCATACCTTCACCTGGGTTTTATTGGCTCTGTAGGAGATGGGCCTACAAAAAACTCCCATGTAAAATGCATACTGATTGAACCTTGGGAATGGTGATGCCTGTCATTTACCCTACAAAAACCTTACCTGTTTCCACCCACCTCCTTTGGAAGCGAGACACAGAGTTATCAGGATTTAAAATGGATAGAAATACACAGTTTTGGGTCTCTCTCTTTCCAGTGGTAGGGGTGGGGATGATGACAACGAATTTCAATATTTTAATTGACACCCTTGATGATGCCTTCAATAGCACAGGAACCGCAATTGGCCTACTTAACTATGAACAGGAACAGATTAGACAGGTAGCTTTGCAGAATAGGATAGCCTTAGATTACCTTTTAGCAGCTGAAGGAGGAGTTGCAAAAGAATAGGAGGCAAGGCATGTTGTGTGTGGATAGAAGATGATTCAGGGAAAATTAAGCATGAACTACATCATTTAGAAGAGGTGCAGAAATGCTTTAGAAAACCATTAACCACAGATGACTTAGAACACTGGTTATCTAATTCTACAAAAGACTTCGACTGGACATTTGGCATAGGTTCCTGGATAGGAGGGCTTGGGTTGAAAATAATAAAAAGTATTGCATGGTGTGTTTTTATTATACTTTGTATTTATCTGTGCTACAAAATTACAGTTTTATGCATTCAAAGCTTTGCTAGCTTAAAAAAAAATCATAGTGTAGTGCTAGAAGAGTTTAATTAGGCTTGAATCGGTTCCAGGTGTAAATGGAGCATAATGGGAATCAGTGGGTAAATGGGTTTTCCCCCTGCTAATAAACCTGAATGGTTTGTGTAAATGTGTGAGGTTTTGCTCACTGAGTGATCAAGGGATAGAATGTGATAATAATATTTCATATTAATTATGATTGATTGATCACTATTGAGCAACTCAAACATTTATAGATAGTTAAGATAGCACCAGTAAGTATATAAGCACATATTACTAGATGCAGGCTTGAAGGCCACAATTACTAGATGCAGGCTTGAAGGCTTTATGCCACAGCTATTGAGCGCTGACACAGCACTACAGCTGTTTACTAAGCTGACACAGCACTATAAGCCGACACAGCACTTCGGCAGTTTGAGAAACTTATGTTGCCATCAAAAAACTTATGTCGCCATCTCTAGAACAGTACAGAAAGCTTGTAGATAAGAGATAATTAACCGCACAGGACATGGCATAAGTTCTGGTGGTCCTGAACAGTCTGGCTAACTGCCAGGTCCATCCAGCTGCTTGTATCAAGGTCTTTTGGTGGGCTGCACTGATAAGGAACTACTGACTGTCCTTGAAGACAGGTATATAAGACTAAGGGAATCTTGCGCTCCCTTGGAGAACTACCCACCTGTAATGCGGACGCGTGTTACTGGTTTCTGCTGTTCCCAGAAGAGAGGGTCTCTCCGAGTGACTGCCTGAGTTCACCCCAGTCATGTGTGGCAAGGAGACAACCAAGCTTCTCTAATGGTGATGTATACTTAAGCTGATATATCTAGATACTAAGCTGTTTGAAGTAAATGCATGCAACTACTTAAATGAAAGTAAAACTTACTTTGCTTAGATCCCTTTGTGGATAATAAAGTGCAGTGTGAATTCTTATATTCAACTTGGTCTCTTTGTGATTTCTCTTTCCTATAACTCAATGTACTCTATCTGAACTGGGTTGTGTGCCCGCCAATATCACTACAAACCTTATTAGGTATTGATTATTACTTTTTGGATATTGGTGCTTCATGAATTTAATGATTAGGCACAACAATGGAGCGAGACATGATGTCCCAGATGTGCTCAATTTGATTCAGGTCTGGGGAACGGGCGGGCCAGTCCATAGCATCAATGCCTTCGTCTTGCAGGAACTGCTGACACACTCCAGCCACATGAGGTCTAGCATTGTCTTGCATTAGGAGGAACCCAGAGCCAACCGCACCAGCATATGGTCTCACAAGGGGTCTGAGGATCTCATCTCGGTACCTAATAGCAGTCAGGCTACCTCTGGTGAGCACATGGAGAGCTGTGCGGCCCCCCAAAGAAATGCCACCCCACACCATTACTGATGCACTGCCAAACCGGTCATGCTGGAGGATGTTGCAGGCAGCAGAACATTCTCCACGGCGTCTTCAGACTCTGACACATCTGTCACACGTGCTCAGTGTGAACCTGCTTTCATTTGTGAAGAGCACAGGGTGCCAGTGGCGAATTTGCCAATCTTGGTGTTCTCTGGCAAATGCCAAACATCCTGCACGGTGTTAGGCTGTAAGCACAACCCCCACCTGTGGACGTCGGGCCCTCATGCCACCCTCATGGAGTCTGTTTCTGACCGTTTGAGCAGACACATGCACATTTGTGGCCTGCTGGAGGTCATTTTGCAGGGCTCTGGCAGTGCTCCTCCTGTTCCTCCTTGCACAAAGGCGGAGGTAGAGGTCCTGCTGCTGTGTTGTTGCCCTCCTACGGCCTCCTCTACGTCTCCTGATGTACTGGCCTGTCTCCTGATAGCGCCTCCATGCTCTGGACACTACGCTGACAGACACAGCAAACCTTCTTGCCACAGCTCGCATTGATGTGCCATCCTGGATGAGCTGCACTACCTGAGCCTCTTGTGTGGGTTGTAGACTCTGTCTCATGCTACCACTAGAGTGAAAGCACCACCAGCATTCTAAAGTAACAAAAACATCAGCCAGGAAGCATAGGAACTGAGAAGTGGTCTGTGGTCACCACCTGCAGAAGCACTACTTTATTGGGGGTGTCTTGCTAATTGCCTATAATTTCCACCTGTTGTCTATCCAATTTGCACAACAGCATGTGAAATTGATTGTCACTCAGTGTTGCTTCCTAAGTGGACAGTTTG